ATGAAAAACATCGACGAAGAATGAGAAAAATCGACGAAGAATGAAACAAATCGACGAAGAATGAAAAACATCGACGAAGAATGAGAAAAATCGACGAAGAATGAAACAAATCGACGAAGAATGAAAAAAATCGACGAAGAATGAAAAAAATCGACGAAGAATGAAAAAAATCGATGAAAGAATGAAAAAAAAAATCGATGAAAGAATGAGAAAAGAATGGGCGACATTTTCGACGAAGAATGAAAAACATCCCCCCAAAAATAGTCCCCAAAATCGTCCGGGGACTATTCTTCGAGCATGTTTTGACCGTTTGGCGGGAAAGGTCGGGGTATTTGTTTTTCTTTTTCGTCGAAAATCCCCATGTAGGGGGACAGGCCCGACTTAAGACTGCCGCGGGCATTCCCGGGGGCTCCCTGGAGGGCTTCCGGGCGGCGCGGGCGGCCTCCGGGGCGCTGCGAAGGGGCGCAGGCGAAGGGGGGACGGAGGGGCGCCGGCGCTGCTGGCAAGTCGGGCCCGTGCCTCTACAGGCGGAGCGTTCCAAAATAGTCAAAACAATAGTCAAACGATAGTCAAAACATAGTCGAAAACAGTCAAAGAACAGTCAAAGAATAGTCAAAAGTAGTGAAAAATAGGGGGGAATGTTCCAAACTAGTCCACCAAAATAGTCCGGGGACTACTTTTTGAATCTTGTGGGGCATGTTTCGGGCATTTGTTGGGGTATGTTTTCATTTTTCGTCCAGAATCCCCCTGTGGGGGGACAGGCCCGACTTGAGGCTGCTGCGGGGGAACATACGGAGTACGAATGCGCCAACCATGTCGAGGCCCAGAGTGCAAGCGGATGAGTGGGTGTTTCGCATATCTGCTTTCGGGCGACCCACCCGCTATTGGTTCACCTGTATGCTGCGCGCTACAAAGGGGGAGCATGTGGAGTAGGAATGCACCAACTCATGTTGAGGCCCAGAATGCAATGGATACAATTGGTTTTCCTCAACGAATTCTCGGGTGACCCACCCGTTGGTGGGTCACCTGTGCGTTGCGTGCGACACAGGGGGAGCGCATGGAGCACGATTGCACCAACTCGCGTTGAGTCCCAGAATACGAGTGAAACAATCGATTTTTCCGAATCAGTTTTCGGGTGACCCACCCGCTGGTGGGTCACCTTGTGTGTTGCGCGCTAGATAGGGGAAGCATCTGGTTCAGGAATGCACAATTTCATGTTGAGGCCGAGAATGCAAGTGACACGTCTAGTTGTTCACATCCAGTTTTCGGGTGACACACCCGCTGGTGGGTCACCTTGTGCGTTGCGCATTGGGCAACATGTCGGCCGTCACCATCTTCGTCCCGAACCAATGCACAACCGCGGCGGGCTGGAAGGCTCATGCCTCCTCCCTCCCTCATTCCCCTATCACCATCGGTGAGGAACCGTGAGGAGCTGTAGGGGGTCGTGTGGGCCCGTGGGGAACCGTGGGGAAGCGTGTGGAATTGTGGGTTCCTCGCCTCCTTGCGCGACGCGACTTGTGGTTCACTAGTGTGGCCGCGTAGGGGTGTGGTCACGTTCAGGCCCAGTCCCCCGCGCGAGCCCGTCGTCTCCTGGCGCGGTGCAAATCGGGGTCCACGTGCGCAACCAAATCGGGAAGTGGCCACGGCAAGGCCCAGTCCCCCACGCAAGCCCCTGGCGTTCCTTGCGCGGTGCGAGGTGGGACTCACGCGCGTATCCGAATCGGGAAGTGGTCGCGTTGAGGCCCAGTTCCCCACGCGAGCCGTTCGGTTCTTTGCGCGGTGCGGGTTGGTGCTCACGCGCGAAACCGATGCGGAAAGTGGTCACGTTAAGGTTCAGTCCTCCACGCGAGCCCTTTGCGTGCTTTGCGCGGTGTGGGTTGGGGCTCACGCGCGCAACCGAATCGGAAAATGGTCAAGTTGAAGCCCAGTCTTCCATGCGAGCCCCTGGCTTTCTTTGCGCGCTGCGAGCTAGGGTTCACGCGCGTAACCGAATCGGGAAGTGGTCACGTTAAGGCACAGTTCCTCGCCCGAGCCCCTTGCGTTCCTAACGCGTTGTTCGCGGGCTGCGTTTCTCCGTTTGATTTTTGGAGTGGCCGGGGAGGAGGGGGGCGGGCGTTCTTCAGTAGTTCGGCAAAGGGTGTGGGATTTGAACCGCGAAGGCAAATCATGGCGGAACGCCGCTAAAATATGGTTTTCCCTTTCCTTCGGAGTTCAGCGGCCCGATTGTATTTCGGCAAACCCTTCAGACGCTTCGTGGCCCCATAGGGAGCTTCACCGACGGGCCCACCAGCAGCGCCCGCATGCGGTTCCACCCTCAATTTCGGTGCACCCCTCACACGTTTCGTGGCCCCACAGGGAGCTCCACCGAAGGCCCCAGTGGCAGCACCCGCATGCGGTTCCACCCCCCATTCTGGCGAACCCATCACACGTTTCGTGGCCCCATCTGGTGTTCCACTGAAAGCTCCAGTGGCAATGCCCGCATGGTGGCCCCGCCAAGGGGACCCACCGACGGCGATATCCACAACGACGGTACCCACAGCTGCATATGTTTTTCTGTATATCTCTTTTTTTGTTCTCTCTCTCTCTCTCTTGTATACATCTCTCTACCTATTTTTGTTGTTCTCTATCTCTCTCTCTCTTTCCCTCTCTGTCTATTTTTATACCATATGTAAGGATATGTTTCTGGGCCTGCGTCTGTGCATGTACCCCTTTCAGTCGTTGTCACCATTATTGTTCCGCTCTCGCGCTGTCTGTTTGTCTGCCTGCCTGCCTGCCTGCCTGCATGCATGCCTGTTTGCCTGCTTGTCTGTCTGTCTGTCTGTCTGCCTGTTTGTCTGTCTGTCTGTCTGTCTGTCTGTCTGTCTGTCTGTCTGTCTGTCTGTCTGTCTGTCTGTCTTTGTGTCTGTCTGTCGGCGCGCAGCAAACAGACGGCCGGGGCGCTGCTGCGGGCCTACGGAGGGCCAGCGAGCCAGCATTCCCTGAGGATGGAACAGGCAGCAAACGCAGCCACGGCGTGCTACGACCAGCAGCTGGCGGCCAGTCGGCAGGCGCTGCTACGGCGCGACCTGGGGGAGACAGCGCTGGTGCTGCTGGCGCTGTCCGCCAGAGAAGGGGGCGTCGGGGCCCAGCTCGCTTCCACGCGGAGACACGCAGCTTTCCTGGCTTCCTGGGCGGCCACCGTCGCAGAGGTGGCCCTGGACCTCGGCTGCGGCACGCTGGCTGACTGCCTGGAGAAGCTACCTCGCGCCGCGGGGCAGCTGGAGAGCGCCCGCCAGGGGCTTCGAGCCCAAGGGCTGGACCTGGCGGCTGGAGCAGATTTGGCAACGGCGCTCAGCACGCCCTTGCGGCAAGGCCTCGCTACGGAAAAGGTGCAAAAGACAGCGCGCAGCCGTGCTAGAACGCTTGCCCCTTCCGCAACAGGCCGCGCTGCGAGGCGCCGCGGGGCCCGGAAATGCCATTTTCTTGGCATGCCCAGACGACGACCTCTGCGCCCTGGAGGACGCGCGCTGGGAGACGGCGACGCGGCAGCGGCTGCAGGTTCCCAGAGTGGAGCTCTCGCAGCAAGAGCTGACAGGGGCAGCCGCGGCGGAGCCGGCCTGCTGCTTGCGCGCGGCGAGCGGAGCTAGTTGCGGCGGCACACTCGACCGCCAGGGCGACCACGCGCTCAGTTGCCAGCTCGGAGGCGGGGTCGTGGCTCGCCACGGCCACCTCGCTCGGCGGCTGGGGGGCTGCTCGCTTGCTGGCGGAGCGAGAAGCCGCTTTTCGAGCAGAGGGTCCCATCGTGGGACCGCTTCCACGGAGGGCGCCTCGAACACGCGATCCTGGACATTGAGTGCCAGGACGACAGAGGCCGCAGGTGGCTGGACGTCACCGTCCGCCACCCCGCGGCGGGCACGGCCGCTGAGCTGAGGGTGGCCGCTCGGCGCGACGGGGAAGCGGGGCGCTGGGGCGAGCACGACAAGCGCGCGCGCTACCCGGGCGCGCAGTTGACGCCGTTTGTCCTGGAGACCGGCGGCAGGATCGGGGCAGAGGCGCGGTTCTGGCTGGTGGAGCAGGTTCGCCAGGTGCCCAGCGACCAGGAGCAGCGCGAGCTGGCGCGGGCCTACAAGGTCCTGAACGCGGGTCTGCACGGCTTCACGGCCCGGCAGCTCCGCAAAGCAGCCGGCCTGAAGTAGGAGGGGCTCCTCCTGCTCCTCCCCTCCGCCTCCTCCGCCCCCTGCTCCCCCGCACCGCTTGGCCAGGAGGGTTCGTGCTAAACCCGTAAAGAGTCTGCGAAAAGCACGGCGGTCCCGGGGCCGAGGAGGTTTGGGGTGAACCGCGAAACCCTGGGTAGCAGCCCGAGGATTGCAGGTGTACAGTAGCACGCGGTTTGTTTCAGTTTGGGCACACTGTTGTTTTGCTCCGATTCGCTTGCCTTCGTTAGGCGCTGCGCTTCGTCGTTTTCTTCTTCTTCTTCTTAGTATTCTTCTTCTTCTTCTTAATCCTCTTCTCCTTACTTCTTCTTCTTCTTCTTCTTCTTCTTCTTCTTCTTCTTCTTCTTCTTCTTCTTCTCTTCTTATTCTTATTATCATTCTCCCTCTCCCTCTCTCTCGCTCCCCTGGCGCGCCTGGCTCGTGGTCTGCGACCCGCGACCAGGCGCATGCAGTTTTCTGAAGCCCCCGCGATCGCGCCGGTGCAATCTGGCCGGGGCCCCAGATACAGCTGGGCCGCTTCACCACGCGAGAATGTTGGACTCGCGGTGTTCCGCTTCATGGCCCTCGCCCCCAAGGCGCGGCTGGGGCGCGCCCTCGAAGCGTGGTTGGGGGCGCCCCAGCGACGTGGGAGCCCGAGAGAGAGTGCGTCTGTCAGTCAGTCAGTCAGTCAGTCAGACAGTCAATCAGTCAGTCAGTCAGTCAGTCAGTCAGTCAGTCAGTCAGTCTGTCTGTCTGTCTGTCTGTCTGTCTGTCTGTCTCTCTCTGTGCCCGTCTCTCTTTCTCTCTTCCTTTTCCAGTCGCCGGCAGGCCCCGGCAACCAGGCTCAGACACAGCAGCCCAGATCCACACCTCGAGGAGGCTTTGGCCAGGGCGGGGGGCGGGGTGGGGTCCAGCGGGTGGGGGGGTGGGTGTCGGGGTGGGGGCGGGCCGCCAGCAATTTAGCGATCTAATATGTCATTCTGCGTTTTTGTTGCCACATGTTGCCACCCCACCCCGCCCGGCGTTTTCACGTGAAGGGGGCGGCGAAGCCAGCAGCCAGAACGCACGCAGATGACGGTGGTCGACAATCACGCCAATGAGGGGTGGAGTATGCTACCCGTTGCAAAGCGGTCGAATCTTCGCCCCGCCAAGTATGAGACAGTTGGGTTGTGAGGGGCCACGGTCGGTTAGAAGGGTGAGCGGACATGTTTGAAACACAATATGTTCTCGAAGTTTTGGGAGATACGTCTGGCTTTCGCCTGTACTCGCGATCCGATAGTGGATGCTTGCCCGTCGCCCGCACGCAATATTCGGACCAATCGATCTAGTACTTGCCATACCAGCATTCGTACTCAGACCCGTCGTGTTGGTATTTTCATGGGTGTTGGTAGCGGTCGTGGTAGTGGTAGCGGTAGGAGTTGAGAACATGGTTTCCGAACCTCGGGGATTCTTTCTCTGACGAGGGCGGTGGTGGTATCCATGGTTACTCCACGAGTGGAGTTCCGCAGGCTTTCAGACCATGGCTTCCTTCGGCCGCCGACCGCCGCCTCGAGCTCGAGGATCAGCTCCCAGCTGTCACTGCGGCCGAGCACGGCCCCGCGGACGACGGCAGCGGCGACGAGCATGTCCGTGCTGCGGTTGCCGACCACCGCCCTCCTGGCCCATGGGCGGACAAGTTCGAGGGTTGCGAGTGCGGCCCCGCGGGCCCCGCGCCCTTCGCGGCGGAGGGTGGCCCTGCCGTGGGGGCCACGGCCGCGCCGAGCGACCGACGGTTTCGGCGTCGAGCTGGAGGCCGCCGACGGCGGGAGTGGTGGGCCGCAGCCAAGAGGTACCCAGCGCTTCCGCGACGGCGCCGACGGCGGCGTGTTCAGCCAGGTTAGGCGCAGAGCTGGATGTCGCCGACGGCGGTGCCGCCACGCGCCGCGCGGCGGACCTGGCGAGACTTTGGGCCGCTGTCGCGGCGGAGATCGGGGAGGCTTAATTGGGTCGGTGCGCCGCGCGCGCTGACAGGGAGAGGCTTCGGTCTACCCCCGCTCGTGGGCGGCACGGCCAGGCGGACAGGCCACGTGTCTTTCCCAGGTGACGCCTCACACTTGTTTTTTCCCCACTCTCCTGCGTTGGGTTCTCGTTTTGAATAGAGCACTGCTCGCGCGTCTCCTTCCTTACTTCCTTCCTTCCCGCCCTTCTCTCCCCCCCTGCCTTTTGCCTCGCTCGTCGCTGCGTGCCAGTTGGGGGGCTGCGATCTGTGAAACTGTCGCCACTTTCTGCTGCACGTGCCACCTCGCCATCCTTGGGGGCTGCGATCTGTGAAACTGTCGCCACTTTCTGGGGGCCCAGCACAGTGGGTACACACGGCGGATTGAAATTGCCACCTCGCCATCCCTGGGGGGCTGCGATCTGTGAAACTGTCGCCACTTTCGAGGCCTGCTGGGGGGCCCAGCACAGTGGGTACACACGGCGGATTGAAATTGCACCTCGCCATCCCTGGGGGGCTGCGATCTGTGAAACTGTCGCCACTTTCGAGGCCTGCTGGGGGCCCAGCACAGTGGGTACACACGGCGGATTGAAATTGCACCTCGCCATCCCTGGGGGGCTGCGATCTGTGAAACTGTCGCCACTTTCGAGGCCTGCTGGGGGGCCCAGCACAGTGGGTACACACGGCGGATTCAAATTAGACCTCGCCATCCCTGGGGGGCTGCGATCTGTGAAACTGTCGCCACTTTCGAGGCCTGCTGGGGGGCCCAGCACAGTGGGTACACACGGCGGATTGAAATTGCACCTCGCCATCCCTGGGGGGCTGCGATCTGTGAAACTGTCGCCACTTTCGAGGCCTGCTGGGGGGCCCAGCACAGTGGGTACACACGGCGGATTGAAATTGCACCTCGCCATCCTTGGGGGGCTGCGATCTGTGAAACTGTCGCCTCTTTCAAGGCCTGCTGAGGGGCCCAGCACAGTGGGCACCCACGGCGGATTCAAATGGGATCTCGCCATCCCTGGGGGGCTGCGATCTGTGAAACTGTCGCCAATTTCGAGGGCTGCCCGGGGGGGCAGCACAGTGGGTACCCACGGCGGACTCAAATGGGACCTCGCCATCCGTGGGGGGCTACGATCTGTGAAACTGACGCCACTTTCGAGGCCTGCTGGGGAGCCCAGCACAGTGGGTACACACGGCGGATTGAAATTGCACCTCGCCATTTCTGGGGGGCTGCGATCTGTGAAACTCTCGCCTCTTTCGAGGGCTGCTGAGGGGCCCAGCACAGTGGGTACCCACTGCAGATTCAAACTAGAACTCGCCATCCCTGGGGGGCTGCGATCTGTGAAACTGTCGCCATTTTCGAGGCCTGCTGGGGGGGGCCAGCACAGTGGGTACACACGGCGGACTCAAATGGGACCTCGCCATCCCTGGGGCGCCGCGATCAGTGAAACTGTCGCCACTTTCGAGGCCTGCTGGGGGGCCAGTACAGTGGGTACCCACGGCGGACTCAAATGGCACCTCGCCGTCCCTGGGGGGTTGCGATCTGTGAAACTGTCGCCACTTTCGAGGCCTGCTGGGGGGCCCAGCACAGTGGGTACCCACGGCGGACTCAAATGGGACCTCGCCATCCCTGGGGGGCGGCGATCTGTGAAACTGTCGCCACTTTCGAGGCCTGCTGGGGGGGGCAGACAGTGGATACCCACGGCGGACTCAAATCGGACCTCGCCATCCCTGGGGAGCTGCGATCTGTGAAACTGTCGCCACTTTCGAGGCCTGCTGGGGGGCCCAGCACAGTGGGTACACACGGCGGACTCAAATGGGACCTCGCCATCCCTGGGGGGCCCAGCACAGTGGGTACCCACGGCGGACTCAAATGGGACCTCGCCATCCCTGGGGGGCTGCGATCTGTGAGGCTGTCGCCACTTTCGAGGCCTGCTGGGGGGGCCAGCACAGTGGGTACCCACGGCGGACTCAAATGGGACCTCGCCATCCCTGGGGGGCGGCGATCTGTGAAACTGCCGCCACTTTCGCGGCCTGCTGGGGGCCCAGCACCCACCGCAGATTCAAATGTGACCTCGCCATCCCTGGGGGGCTGCGATCTGTGAAATTGTCGCCACTTTCGAGGCCTGCTGGGGGGCCCACCACAGTGGGTACCCACCGCAGATTCAAATTAGACCTCGCCATCCCTGGGGGGCTGCGATCTGTGAAACTGTCGCCACTTTCGAGGGCTGCTGAGGGGCCCAGCACAGTGGGTACCCATCGCAGATTTAAATTAGACCTCGCCATCCCTTGGGGGGGCTGCGATCAGTGAAACTGTCGCCACTTTCGAGGGCTGCTGAGGGGCCCAGCACAGTGGGCACCCACGGCGGATTCAAATGGGATCTCGCCATCCCTGGGGGGCTGCGATCTGTGAAACTGTCGCCAATTTCGAGGCCTGCTGGGGGGGCCAGCACAGTGGGTACCCACTCGCCATCCCTGGGGGGCTGCGATCTGTGAAACTGTCGCCACTTTCGCGGCCTGCTGGGGGGCCCACCACAGTGGGTACCCACCGCAGATTCAAATTAGACCTCGCCATCCCTGGGGGGCTGCGATCTGTGAAACTGTCGCCACTTTCAAGGCCTGCTGAGGGGCCCAGCACAGTGGGCATTCACGGCGGATTCAAATGGGATCTCGCCATCCCTGGGGGGCTGCGATCTGTGAAACTGTCGCCAATTTCGAGGGCTGCCGGGGGGGCCAGCACAGTGGGTACCCACGGCGGACTCAAATGGGACCTCGCCATCCGTGGGGGGCTGCGATCTGTGAAACTGTCGCCACTTTCGAGGCCTGCTGGGGGGCCCAGCACAGTGGGTACCCACAGCTGATGCAAATTAGACCTCGCCATCCCTGGGGGGCTGCGATCTGTGAAACTGTCGCCACTTTCGAGGCCTTCTTGCGGGGCCCAGCACAGTGGGTATCCACGGCGGACTCAAATGTGACCTCGCCATCCCTGGGGGGCTGCGTTCTGTGAAACTGTCGCCATTTTCGAGGCCTGCTTGCGGTGCCCAGCTCAGTGGGTACCCACGGCGGACGCAAATTAGACCTCGCCATCCCTGGGGGGCTGCGATCTGTGAAACTCTCGCCTCTTTCGAGGGCTGCTGAGGGGCCCAGCACAGTGGGTACCCACTGCAGATTCAAACTAGAACTCGGCATCCCTGGGGGGCTGCGATCTGTGAAACTGTCGCCATTTTCGAGGCCTGCTGGGGGGGCCCAGCACAGTGGGTACACACGGCGGACTCAAATGGGACCTCGCCATCCCTGGGGCGCCGCGATCAGTGAAACTGTCGCCACTTTCGAGGCCTGCTGGGGGGCCCAGCACAGTGGGTACCCACGGCGGACTCAAATGGCACCTCGCCGTCCCTGGGGGGTTGCGATCTGTGACACTGTCGCCACTTTCGAGGCCTGCTGGGGCCCAGCACAGTGGGTACACACGGCGGATTGAAATTGCACCTCGCCATCCTTGGGGGGCTGCGATCTGTGAAACTGTCGCCACTTTCGAGGCCTGCGTGCGGGGCCCAGCACAGTGGGTACCCACACGCAGACTCAAATTAGACCTCGCCATCCTTGGCGGGCTGCGATTTGCGAAACTGTCGCCACTTTCGAGGCCTGCTGGGGGGCCCAGCACAGTGACGCCACACGCAGATTCAAATTAGACCTCGCCATCCCTGGGGGGCTGCGATCTGTGAAACTGTCGCCACTTTCGAGGCCTGCTTGCGGGGCCCAGCACAGTGACGCCTCCCAAGTAGCTTACACATCAAGTTGGTTGTCCATACAAGTTTCGGCCAACTCCTCGCTTCCATTGGTACACATGGGTTGGGTACGTCACAGGGTAATTTGTATTCAATGCCAGCAACAGCGCCTGCGCTTT